ACTTATCGATATATCTAATTTTTATATTTTGACATCCTTGATGAAAATTTTGAATCCGTCATTGATCAAGCGCTTATGATTCTATGAACAACGAATTATAATTGTAGCACGAAAGGATAGCCCCAATTTTAGCTTCTACCTTATCTATTTTTAACTGAGAAAGTTAGCCCAATAATTTTTAGCTGCTACCTTATCAATGTGAGCATATTTCACTAAAACCATATATATGTAGTGAGGCTAATCAGTCCAGAAAACTAATTAGCAGATTAGAAGTAATAGAACCATATGTTGAGAAAAGGAAATGATTTTAGAATTAAATGCAAAGTATGCATATGAAAAATAAGTTGATGAGTCTATGGTGATAAAACATTTATTCACATCCGATGGTTACTAGAATCCACAATAAATAAATACATAAATTGCTATCAGTTAACCATAGTTTATTTATTCATATTTTCACCTCAATTTTATTACTAACTATATATGTAAGCTAATATTATTTGAAATAAACATTCTGTGTAAATAATTTTCTTTTTTTGCTATGTGGGGTTATGGGGTCATGAAAGGAGTGTCGTGGGGGTCTCATATAAATTTTCTATGGACATGTGACTACGGTCGACAAAAGCATGGGTTATTAAATTTGTTTGCCTGATTTAGAAATCTCCTTCCCTAAATAATATAAGAGGTACGCCACGTGGCATGTCGTTGATGGAGAAGAAAGACATGTGACATGAATTTTTTGACAATACCTTCTCGTGCTTATGTTCCTAACAAGGTGGAAAATTCATTTAATATGAGGGTCTTCACTTACTGGCCCTTTCTTCTTCTTGAGTATATTGAAACACTATATTTTAATCATGGCCCAATTCTTGCACGGCTATGGGGTCACCCTTAATTTTTTCCTAAATAGGTCTTTTCTCTCTCAGTCGACTGATTAATTTGTTACCTTCACTTTAGAAAAGAAAAAAAAACATCTTTGTCCCTAATCTTTTTTCTTCCAAAGGTAGGAGAATTCAAAAAGTGAAATGAGATTATTTTAGTCACCAGCAGTCCATCACATTTAGATAATACCCTCTCGAGGTTAATTTATGTCTCTAATAAGGAGGAACCCCATTTGTTTTGAAGACTTTTTATTTATATTTTTCTATTATATAGGGAATAAGAGAACATAAACGAGAAGGGTATAATGAAAATTGAACTCAAACATATTGCACGAGGATATTGGTAGATTTCACTCTATCGTATATGGAGTTGAGTGAAACCCAAATTCCAAATTTTGCCCAATGTTTGCTAGGCCATGAGGTCAGCATCAATGGCCTTCCTACTTGCTTAATCTCTGTCAAAGAAGAGATCTATATCTCCTATATGTTGCTTCTATTGGTCCATTAAAGAAACAGTCTGTGTTAATGGTTTTTTTTTGGACGTAGGGAAAGTAAAAGACTTTACTATTTAAAAAGTAAAGATAAGGCTATTAGTAGTAATGGTCATGTTATTAAATATTTTTTATATTATTAGGTTATCTAAAAAAATAATTGTAAGCAATTGTCCATAATATGTGCATTCGTTAACTGAAAAATGACAAAGACATACCTGCTAAAAACTGCTTTAGTTACACTGGTAGTGTAATAATTATTTGGATTGTAAGCTTATATTATTTAAAGTATATTAAAAATCCCTGGCGTGCTTATGTCCCTAACAAGGAGAAAAACCCGTTGGTTTGAGAGAATTCACTTAATGGTTTTGTTCAATTTGGTATTGACAGTGATACCCAAATTCTTAATCATGCCTAACGTTTGCACGGCCATGGGGTCACCCTTACTTGCTAATCTTCCTACTTAATCTGATTTTGTCAGAGCCCCCTTATTAATCATGCTTAGTTGCCTCACACATTGACACATTTAGACACAATTGTTTTGGCCACTTGTAATTAATCCTTATGTTGACAATTTAGTATGTCGAACTAGTAGTCCTTTTCTCATCCATAGTATACCAAAGTATTATAAGTTCTTCTTAAACGCCAAATCAATAATTCAATACGCGAGTATTACGTAACATTCTAATTTTTGGCCTTTCTCTATTCAGAAAACAACAAAATGGCGAGCTAATCAATGTATTTCAATTTTTGGTCTTTCTCTCTATAATAAATCGTAGCAGAGACGCAAGCCTATGAGGCGCGGGTTCAGCCGAAATTAGTCATTTTTGCTTTAATATTATATTTATACTAAAAAATTCATTTGATATGTATAAATATTTAATGACAAACCCAGCAACTGAGACGAGTTATGGGTTCCGTGGCAAATTCATATCCCATAAACTTCAAATTCTGGTTTCGACTCTGAATTCTAACATTCCATAAGACATATGGTATACGGTCGAAATCGAGCTCGCCTACGACATGGCGGGTCAGGCTCGAAACTTTGCAATAAAGGGCTGAAGATCGACTCCAAGTCCTACCGGGCTAGAACCCGGGGTCAGAATGCCTACCTTCAATAACATTGAGTCTGTGATCCAGGAGTCGACCATAGCCACGAACGAGCTCGAAGAAATATTGTTAGCATAACCAACAGAAGACCGAAATATCCGTGACCAGACGAATATTACGGCGAAAATCTCGGCACATATCAATAAGGAATCGGCAATCAGCAAATCAAGAGATTTTTACCTTTTATAGAATTGTACCTAAATTAAGACTCCTCTACTATAAAAAGGGGGTTTGATAATTCATTTAGCACATTGTAACGCGCAATCCAAAGCAATGCATTATTATTATTCTCTTTAAGCTCTTATTTTTCTGTGTCTTGATACCGATCGAAGTGCATTCGGCTCGAGGGTAGCTAACCTTCCAAGGCTGAAATTGTCCAATTCGTGTGATTTGCATTTACTTTATCGTTATTTATTTCAATTGCAATCTAGTTTATTATTTTGTGTCAAGTCAATTCACGTATCATTAAAACCACTTACAAATTTAATTGTTATTCGATTTAGAGGATAAACCAATAGTATTATTCAGTTATCATATTCCGAAATGTGATCACCAAAGTTTAAGACATAATGCCTACTCTCTTACTCTTTCAATTAAGTTAATAGGAATCACGAGCAGAGACATTACTATTAATTAGTAGTACAATTTGTTGGCCGTCAAGCAATGCAAAAATCTTGGACGTTCAAGCCATCACATGGGACTCACGTGATCCCTCAAGTTGTCTCTAAAACCGATACTATCAAGGATCATAGGAAGATGTGGTGTGAACTGTGAAGTAGGTCGTCCACATAGTATGGTTGCTTTATTTCGTACTTAAACTAGTACTAAAATAATAAAACACAATCTTGAGATGTTAATTCATCAGATATGCATGTTCATAAACAAAGGGGTATTTGAGTAATAGTTGTTTGTTTTATATATATATAATATTATTTTTATTTTGTAGTAATATATTTGGGAAAATAAAGTTGCGAGTCCTTGGATCATTAATTGACAAAACATGCGATGTCTGACGTAAAAAATGAAACACAATCACAGCCATGACATTCGTTAAAAATGTGGCACGCATGGCCCCTAATTTTCTCAAGTATTCTTCTTTTTCTATTCTCTCTCCCTATTCTTGGAGGGGCAAAATGTAAAACTTGGCTTCCTTTGACTGTAATTAGCACCAAATATGGATCACTGCATTAACGCCACGACTTTATTTCCTTAGTACAATTGCTCACCCAATTACTGCCATGACATCCGTGAATCAAAGTCCATTTACTTTTTGTACCATAGGAAAAGTTCACGGCATGGGTTAAAAGTAAAGTAATTGGAGTAATTCATCTTTCTGGTTAGTTAGATTTTTATTGAGTACTATTGACCAGGTTAATTGCAATAAGGATCGCTAGTGATTGTACTTGAAAGGGTGAAACTTACTTTAGGTTAATCTCACAATCGAAATGAATAAGAATAAGTTAGTGCTTATAAAAAAGCGAGTTTAGAAATTGATGCACCTTTTGGTTTAAAATCCAAACTGGGTACAAAATTGTGAGGCCCCAAATGATGGGTAAAAAATACAATACCGAGCTTGGATTATTAAACTTGAGTGAGTTCTAAAGTATTGACAAGAGCTGGTCCAAACTATATACAGAATTGATTATATAAGTTTTCGGTAATATATAACATATGCTAAATTCGCTTTCATTGTTACAGAAGACTGAGTAAATCAAATGATATACACTCTATATACCATGTAAGCTATAGTTTTAGATCTTTACGTGAATTTTTTGTAGACAGTTAGGTGGAAGTGTGAATTAATTAAGTGTGTGGAAATGATCACATGATCTTGTATTTGGAGACATGTACATTGAAGGCCCACCGTGTTAGTACAATAACAAACACATTTCTTTAAGCCCACTTGAGATCAAACCCCAGCTTGCAAACAAACAAACACAAATTTTTAAACTTAGTTATGGCCTCGACCGGCCCCTCTCCCGCAAAAAATAAAAATAAAAAAACCTCCTAAGTTAGCATTTGAATTTTATAGTTTTAAATTCTAGAATAGCAATATCAAGTATTAGTAAGGAGTTTTGAATTTAATTTTCTATATAAGTAGTATTTAGTATATGTCTTACTATAAGTATACAACTTGTATTAAAGCTACTAGTTCGGTGATCTTCTAGCTCCTCCATTGTCCTCGCAATCAAAAGCGCATCCAAGATTTAAATTTTATGGGTCAAACTTTTAAGGTTCTTAGTATTAAACTCATTATATTTTTAAAGTTACGGATTCATATATAAATATATTTATTGCTATTTTAGTAATTTTTTGTATATAAATTAATGTTCCGCGTCAAAATTATAGGTTCAATTGAACCCGTGTTATAAGGCTACATCCGGCCCCGCTCACAATCTCTCCCCAACACTCTCTCCATCTTTTAAGTTGAAGTTCTAAAAAAACACAAAGTATAGAACTTGAGTTGCAACAGGAGTAGTAATTAGTAAACTAGTAGTAGTACGTAGTAGAAGGAAGCGAGAGTTACCACTTAAGAAAAGTTTTACTGACAAGAAGCTCTCTTTGGGCTACTTCTTCAATGCAATTGTCTTCTTCACATCCAACATCGCTGTCTATGTTTTCGTACTCTATCTCTCTCCTTCTCCTTGTAGTCCTTCCCTTCCTTTAAATCTCGTTCGTTATCTCTTCTCTTCATATTTTATATCTAACTACCTAAACTTCTTCTTCCTCCACTATCAGCTAGTACTTAATTTGCTCTTCCTTCACGAAACTCTACGTTTTTCCTTGACCAGCTATAAGCTTTCCACTTGTTCTAAGCAAATACTTCTATATAAAAGGAGACAACTATTAGCCAATTGTAGAAAAGAACATAAAAGACATTTAAGTTTAATTTAAGGATGTCAAGCAGAAGGTCAAGACAGTCGTCATCAGCAGGTTCCTCAAGAATTTCAGATGATCAGATAATTGACCTCGTATCCAAGTTGCAACAACTTCTTCCTGAGATTCGAACCCGCCGCTCCAACAAGGTTTCTCTTATATTCTGTTTTCAGCTATATGAGTTTTCACTGTTCACCGTTAATGTAGCTCCATTTAAGTTCATTTTCGTCAATTTATTCTACTAAAGCTTATCTAGTAGTATATTTTTTTGTGCATGTTCATAAATAAACATGCAGCTGCATTTGAATATTTTGAGGTTCATTTATGTTTATGGTTTTTAGATACATATTGTACAGAGAAGTTTGAAATTCTTTAGAAGGAAAAGATAGGAAAATTTCATCCACAGTATAAGTAGCCAAAGCCACATCATGTGGAGCTAAGCACTTCTCGTCTGTGTTAGTCCCATGAATTATTCATGTAGGAACATATTTCGCTTGTTATATTCAGGCATTTATTATATGTCTCTTTTTGGACTCTCAAGGTCCATTTCACATATCCTAATTTGTCTTGCCACAAAAATATTAGAAAAGAGTTTTAAGTTTGTTGGACAATATATAAGGTTCTTACACCATCATATTAAATGACTAGCAATAATAATTGTTTATAGCGATATGTACAGTTAAATTATACTAGCTAGTAGTATGTACACTTCAGCGTATATAACCTAAAGTTTAAGGGAGAATCAACCATGCACAATTAGCATAAGGGATAGGATATAGAAATGTCCCTCTCTCTCACACACATTCACACTCTCTCTCACACACACACTTCATATCTTTTTCTTGGAAGAGGTACAAGTTTGCCGTTCAAAAGGAGAAGATTATGATTTGAATAATTTTTTTCGACCATGCCTTAGGCCCATGCTTTGGGTCCCAACTCCCCAAAAAATACACATCACCAATTGTAATTTGTGTAGGTCAATGACTTGAACTTTGTCAAAGATTTGCAATGCATCATTGCACAAATTAAGGCATGTCTAGTCTAATTAAATTATTACGTAACACTATGTGTTGACTAGATCGAGAGTTTAGTAGTACTAAAAAGTGATCATGCTTTAGCAGTTAATTTAATTTGTTCAATTCCTTTTTATCTTGTCTTCTAATATACGTTGGTTTTCACACTGCAGGCATCGGCATCAAAGGTGCTACAAGAAACTTGCAACTACATAAGAAATTTGAATAGAGAAGTGGATGATCTTAGTGATCGCCTTTCTCAATTACTCTCCACCATTGATGCTGATAGTCCAGAAGCTGCAATCATTCGGAGTTTATTAATGTAACTATTAATTGTATTGTGATTTTTAAATATTGGAGTTATATTTTATTGCGTACCAATTAAGTTCTTGTTTTTCTTCTTAATTAATTGCTCTAGACTCAGCTGGTCACTAGCTAGGCCAGTCATGAGTTAGAATTTAGAACTGAAATATTAGTAATATCCCCCTTCCTATGGCACACGCTTGTAATTATATTTCCCTTAGTATAATTAATAAGATGGAGTACTTGTGCTTTAAAATCCCTCTTCTTTTAGTTATGTATTGTATTTAATCTGCATTGAAGCACTCCAAGATACTAACATGAGAATTCGAGAGTGAAAAAAGGAAAACATAAAGAAGAAAAATTGAAGGTGTTTAATTAAGGATCAGATATTACGGTGATTAATAAAGTCATATCTGAGAAAGGAAACCTAAAAGGAAGAAGAAAAATTAGCAAAGAAAAAATCGAAAAGGATTTGGTCCATGCTCAGTTTTCTTTGGTGAATTGAGCAAGTTCAGGGTCAATGTTTTTCTGAAAGTTATCAATCACCTGAAGCACCGCTCGCACAACGCTCAAACACACACACATATACACACACACAACAACCAAAAAATCACCCCGACTGTCATGTTATAAAGGATATAATTTTTTAAAGAAAAAGAATAAACGAATGAGTGAATAGTAGTCTATCTGGGTGCTATATATTGCCTAGTTTGACAACGATTAAGTTATCTATTTTGATGAAGACGTTAGTACATATATACACGTATAGCTTGTAGCTCCCTGTGAATATATGATTAAGCAAATGAAAAAATATTCTCTGCTAAGCTTTTCTAGATGAGTAGTTATGCAATTCAATATGATACCAAAGTATTCAGAGGTTTTGGATTCAAGTCTCATCATCGCCTATTTTCAAAAAAAATTGAAAATATTAACGTGTTTGGTCGATAAAAATAATTATGTTCGCACGCGAAAAGCCGTAATGAAGATATAATTAAATAATAAAAGTATCTTATTTCTAATAACTTAAATTTGAGATTTTAGATGAGAACATTCCAACAGGTATCGTTTGACTCTAAATAGTGTGGGGATAAGATGGCTTTGTAACGAGATCATATCAGCATAAATGGTTAAGTCTCACCAAAAAATGTACCCCCAACCCCCCCAACCCCCCCAAAAGGGTAAAAGTCTCGTATGATTGAGGTTGAAAAAGAATGCCAATAGATAGGGAATGATATAAGCACAGGCCGAACCGAAGTTTATGAATTCTAAATTTATCGTCGAATCATAACTCATTATAATTATTGGACTCACAATTAAATATTTACGTATACCTAATAAATTTTCTAGTACAAATATAACAAAAGCTATTGAGTTGATCTGAACCCGTAACCTATACTCTCCCTCCGACCCTGATGTTAAGCTCGAGATAGCAAAGTTATATGAATAACAAGAGCAAAGTTATACCCCGTACTATGAGAAGATTTAATTATACCTTTTGTTATACTTTGGGTCCAAATATACTCCCGCCGTAATATTATTGGTTTAAATATACCTCTTTTGTTAAGTTTGTCCAAGGTTGACATCTAATCCTACGTGACACTGAAATTTAATGAGGTGGATGCCACATGTCATGCCACCTCAGCGCCCCTAATCCATATATAAAAGATTAAAATTTGAAATACAATATTTTTCATGGTAACGGTAATGATGGCAATAGTGGTGGAGGAGAAGAAAATTTTAGTGGTGGAAAAAAAATAGAAGGGAGGGCTAAAATGGGTTAAGGGTGCTGAGGTGGCAAGTCATGTGCCATCCACATCATCAAATGTCAGTGTCATGTAGAATTGGATATCCACTTTGGACAAACTTAACCGAAAAAGGATATATTTGAACCAATAGTATAACAATAGGGATATATTTAGACTCAAAGTATAACGAAGATTACATTAAAAAATTTCTAATAGTACAGGAATATATTTGACCGTTATCCGTTCGGAGTTTTGTGCCCTCAACGAGAAGAGAAAGGGACATTTGCTCTGTGTTTTAGCAGGGTGTCTCTGTGTGTTTTGTGTCTTAATCAAATAAAAACATAAATATATAATGCAGGGATTCTGAAAACGATGAGCCATATATCATTGACGACGACTCTGATATTGCTGTTACCGTTACAACAATATCTCTATGGGCCACCTTTATTTTGAGACGACACCAAATCAAAGACACCTTTTCTGATTTTATTTTCACTATTGAAAAAAGGGTCCTGCTTCATTCTGGCGTAACATCATAGGTGTCAATTCCATCATAATATTTTCCCTAGTTTTTCCCTTCCGAATAATTGTATGGGAGTTACTATTTAGGAATATTACTCTACTGGATCATGCTACTTAAAAACAAATTTTCTTTCCTTTTCCGATTCTCTTATGTATAGGGAGTCGGGGATTCTTCAAATTTTGATCCAAAGATTCCAACATAATCGTAGGAACTTCAATTTATATACATTTATTGCGTAAAGAATTTTTGTACTATAGGGTCAGCATTACGCGTCTTAATAGGTAATCTATCGTATTTTTTTGAAAGTAGAAATTCTACTTTTTACTGTAAGTATATTTTGAGTAATGTGATTTATTTTTTTGAAGTATCAGTGTAAAATGATACTTTATTGTCTCCCTCAAAATAATAGCCGAAATATATATATATATATTTCGGCTATATGTTATATACAAATTTTATATAACTTTTCGGCTGCAGAATGTAAATAGTTTCTGTCTTGAGCTAAAAGTGAAAAAAGCCCAAATTTAAACTCACTGTCTACGAGTGGGCCGAAGGTGGCGTGGGTTATCTGCTAATCATCAGGACGGAAATTGGCATCCTATAACAACACATAACAGGAATTAGCAATTTTTTGGCCTTATATTAGGTTTGGCAAAGATAGCCCCAAACAATTGGCATTATATAGCCAAATCTTAAAAAAACTACTCTCTTTTATATTCTCTCTCAAAAAACTACACGCTTATTTTGGCTTCCCACCCCTTTTCTCTCCTTATATTTCTTTTCTATCTCTTCTCTTTTCTCTTATAGTTTAGCAAAAATTCTTGCAAATTATGCAAAAATAATCAGTGGGATGAAAAGGTAAGGTTGATCTCACATCAGAGAAAATCACAAGCAAAAACTAAGAGAGAAAAAATATATTTCAACTTTGTTTTTCTTCTCTCTTCTTTTTTTGGTTGGATTGAATGAGTGGGTGTGATTGAAATTAGTTGAAAATACCTAAACGAGGCTATATATAAAATTTGAGCAAGATTAGCAAAAACTAAGAGAGAAAAAATATATTTCAACTTCATTTTTCTTCTCTCTTCCTTTTTTTGTTTTGATTGAATAAGTGTGTGTGATTGAAATTGGTTGAAAATACCTAAACAAGGCTATATACAAAATTTGAGCAAGATTAGAAGTGATTTAGACTGGTTTCAGGTAAAAATTCAGACCTAAAAATCCAACTGCGACATGTGTATATCACGTTGTATATCGTGTACATCAATGTATATCACACACAATTTTTTTTAAGGACATCTGTGTATATCACTTTCTATATCGTGTATATAACACAATTGTTTTATGGACGCCCGTGTATATCACATTGTACATCGTATATATAACACAAATTTTCATGGATATACACAGACACACATAATATACATGAGATATCACTGATGTACATAGAGATATACACGGGTTACAATAGGGGATACACATGTGGAGTCATCTTGAACTTGAGTTTTCAATCTGAAATGTGTTATACAAAGAAGAAAAATAAAATTTTAATAAATTATTTTGATATACACATTATTATTATGTTATACACTGTGATATACAAATAATATAATTATTAATTATTGATCAAAGAAGGAATATTTTTTTTGATATAGCATGTTTAAGAAAGTTCTAAAATATAAAATAATAAATATAATTGTGGGAGTAAATAATATTTTGGTATACAAATAAAATTAATTTTTGATATACACAAAGAAGAAAATAAACTTATGATATCTATTTTGGTATACACATGTCTGATGTGCTATACACTGTGATATACAAATAATATAATATTTTTATTGTGATATACATTGATATAAAGGCAGCAATAACTATATATATAATTTTATATTATCGATATATAAAGAATAATATTATTTATATACAAAGAATGAAAATAAAATTTTAATATACATGTTGATATAAATAAAGAAGAAGAAAAAAAGTTGTGATATGCATATTATTATTGTGATATACATTTATTGGCTATTTNATTTGAATTAAATTTTTTAACTTTAGGATGAACTTGAAAACTGAAATTCAGGACACATTGGCTAATTTTTAAATAGTAGCCCTCTAGAATGGCTACCTAATGTCATTTCTATACTAAGAGGTTGTAACCTTTGGCCTAGTTTTCCTCCTTTTGATCCAAATTTCTAGTTGAATGAAGCCCAACGAATGAATCAAAGTAGTGCCTATTAACTTCAGACACCACTATTGTTTAGTGCCTATTAACTTCCTATTGCTACCATATACATAATTACTTCCTATAACTACTATTCAGTTGTTACGGTAGTGTATTCGCTGTATTCGCGCTGCTGTATTCATGAATACAACAACAAAAAGCGCCTAAAAATCAGGGTAGTCCTGAAGTACGTGCATGTATTCGCGCTATGTATTCATGAATACAGCAGCAAAAAGCGCATAAAATCAGGGCAGTCCAGCTGTACGCACATGTATTCACATGTATTCGCGCTACTATATTCATGAATACATCAGTAAAAAGTGCCTAAAATTAGGGCAGTCCAACTGTACGCGCATGTATTCACGCCATGTATTCATGAATACAACAGTAAAAAGGGCCTAAAATCAGGCAGTCCGGCTATTCGCGCATGTATTCACATGTATTCGTGCTGCTACAGCAGTAAAAAATGCCTAAAATCAGGGCAGTCCTACTATACGCGCATGTATTCACATGTATTCATGAATACAGTAACGGCAATCATCTTTAAAATAGGTATGTCTAGTTGTCTAAGAGAGAGGAAAAATATAAATAGCGTATTTCATGCCTCAATGGTAGTGTATACCATAAATACCTATTTTGCTATAAAATATAAAAGATAGCTATAGAAAATAATATTTTAAAATAATTTTGGTTTATAATAAATAGGATGTATACCTTTGCTATAGGATATAAAATTTCCATCAAAGTAATACATGAAGGGCTTATAAGCCTAGAGGCTGTATTCGAGACACCAAACGGGTTCAGTCCAAGTCCAAACATGCCCCTGTGTATCAGAAAAAATAAGACATTTACAAAATATAATTATCGTAAAAAGATACTTATGGCTGTATTGTTAAGGTGATACGAGTCAAGGTGGTGTAAATTCTAATTTGACTAACTTTTAGGCAACAATAGAAATTACTTTGTTGTTCCATATCAGATTGAATTATTGTAAATGCTTTGCTAGTTATTGAATGGAGTCATCTCTACCTGCATTTGGAATCGTCTTGGTCATATAGCCTTTGGAACTAATAATTTTCATAGCCTTTGTTTAGTATGTGGCAAAATTAATTAATAATTTTTTCCAGTTATTGAACTTATTTCAGGGAGTTATAAATCAATGTGTTAATAATATATGTCGCTTGGAGCAAGTATAGATGAATATTTTCCTTGTACTAATTATTGACAGAAGGTAGAAAATGGAAGCAATTCTGCAGTAAGGTTTTTGCTTTTGTACATGTCACATTTCTTGGTGTTTACTCATTTCTCAATGTTATAGCCGGGGGCGAAGCTAGTATGCGAGATACGGGTTCGGTCGAACCCAATAACTTTGGTTTATATTATATATTTGTCATAAGAAATTTATTAAATATGAACAAATTATCAATTAATTAAGAATCCAGTAACAGACTAATTTACTGAATCTATAAACTTCAAATCATGACTCCGCCTCTGGCCATAGCTTGGTGACAAACAGAGGTGAACCTATGTATAGAGAAGCGGGGTCATCGAACCCCGTTAACCTCGGAAAAAAGTTCTAGATATATATATGAGCATATATGTTGAAAATGATTATATATTTTGTTTAGAATTCTTAAAATTAAAACTTTAATGAGACATTGATGGAACAATCCACTCATATATTCCATCACCTTTAAATTTTGGATCCGCCTCAAATGACAAAGATCTCTTTCTTCCTATTAGACTTGCAAGAACATGAGTACTGCTTTAAATGTGTATAGACTTGCAAGAGTCAAGGGCTAAAAAGGTGGTGAGTAATTCTCTACTAATAGGTGTAATGAGTTGCTAACTGTCATCTTGGTATTAAAATCCTCAATAAACTCCATTTGACTTAATCCTGAAGTTCCATAAATTTGATTACTCTATAAATTTGTGGCAACTTTCTTACCATCTGTCTTGTGGTACTATAGTATTCATGTTCAGCTTTTCCAATTATCAAACTGCCGATGTACTAGTCCATCCACAAAGTACTGAATCATAAATTTTCTGCCAATTTGTGGGAAACCAATACTGTTTGAGAATCGTTACATTTTGATTTTTTGTAATTTACGTTAGGAGTTGATTTAACAAATTAAGTTAAAAAAAACTTGCAAACGGAAAGAAAGTTCCAGTTGGTTAGCTATCTAGAAAGAAAAAAGTGAATGATATATCGGTATGATACGAGCGATGTCAGAAAATTTAATAAGGGTGTTCAAAGTCTATTTTTATTCAATAACAAATAATATTTTATCTTATACGTAGTATAATTTTTCGACGAAGGGTAGTCAGTTGACCACTCTTGGGCCAACAAAGTTTCGCCCTTGGTTGTGACAAGTGGCAAGATGTATGTGTGTCAATGGATTTTCAAAAACCGACGAAACCGACCAAACCGAACTGTACCTAATCGATCATTAGATATTTTTAATAAAACTGTAGGTTTTTATGTAAACTTATAACCGTACCGAATCATGGGTAGTTTTTTTTTTATAAAACTAAACGAAAAAATATTGAACCGTACCGAATAAATTTATATATGAAAATTATATTTTATATATGAAATTTAAAACTAACAAAGCATTATGTTTGTTTTCTTGGGTATTTGGATTATGGAAATGAATACGAGTGACCAAATAATTAATATCCAAAGTTCCAAATAATTAATATCCAACTTCCAAATCTATTTTATAACTCATATCAAAATTAAATTATTTCTAATATTTTGAGTAGTAATCCACTAGGTATTCCAACATTCTTCAATAGCAAGGCGCAATGTATTGGATATCTTTCTTCTCGTATGATTTAGATTTTCTTGGTGGATATTAATCTTCTAATAAATTTTATTCTTGAGTCCGAACTTGATTAGTATCTTTCCACTAGTATAATTTATATTTCATTTATCTTTTCTTAATAATTTTTTTACGCTACCATAGAATAGTGGTGTGAATTTATATTCTCAACATCTTTCATATTCCTTTTCATCACTTCTAAAATAGTAAAAATGTTTATGGAGTTTTGCCAAAGTCCTAAGCAAGTACACATTTATCGCATTCGAATTTCGACTAGCGACTTTTGCATGACGTTTTTTAAAAAATACAAAAAAATTAACCGAACCGTACCGATACCGAAGAGAAACTGAGATGCTTGGGACGGTTTCAAAAATTCTAATTTTGGTTATATAAAATAGAATAACCGAAAAATTGGTATGGTATAGATTTTATAAAATAACCGGCCGAACCGAACCATTGACACCCCTAGCAAAATAGATAAAAGAAAATAGTTATTCACCGATATTATCCTTCAAAAAATGGGTTGGATTATAAACTTTTTAAAAACTGGTCAAATATGGATAAGAACCATATCGTCCACTTAAAAAATGGATAACTAATAGATAACCAATGGGTTTAACTTTTACATTCGTAAATTCTCAAATCAGGGGCTCCTCAAGTTTGGAAAACTAGGAATTCTCTCAAAAGTGATCATATTCAAGAAATCATTAATAATATGAATATTCATATTATCTGTCGTTAACATATTTTTTTTCTTATTAAATATAGGCCGGATCAGATAATTTATTCATTTTTGTATTTATCCATTTTTGACCCGCCCGTTTGCCACCTCAGTTTGTGACATGAAGACGTGATTGGAAATGAAGTATAAACTAGTGTGTGGACCTTGTTCCACAATCCGGCATCGGTAATTTGTAACTAGTGCTTCCTCTGTTTGAATTTAACTCATATCAATTGTAAATGTAATGCAATATTTATGTTATTAGTGTAATTAATATACTATAGAAAGATTTTTCTTTCCGTAATAATTGTAAAATATTACGATTAACATCAAATTTTATACATTTAAAGAGCACCTATTACTGCAAGTCTGTAACCACCTTCTAAGAAGAGTGCAGTAATCTTCTATGTATCAGGAACCAAACACACAATCTAGTTACATATTATGGAAAACAAATATAGACATTTATGAGCTCTTCTTGTATTTTGTATACTCTTTAGCTTAATTCTAGTCTCCTTTTGTAAATGTGCATTATCACAATCTCTATTTATATTGGTATTCCTAAAAATCCTCCAATTCCTAACTTGCCATATGTATTGTGTAACTTAGTATATATTTGATATTTTTTAAAATACCAAACACCATACCTAATGTTAAATTTCTAAAAAACTTAAACCAAATATAATATCAAATACCAAAATTTTTGATTTCAGTACGATAACTCGATATTACAATATTATGCACAATCATATTTGGACGATCATGCCCCTTTTTTATGGTTTAAATATTTTTCTTTTCCCCCTTCTTGCAATATTCTAATTAGTAAGTCCATGTAAAAGGGCAAAAGGAGCAAATTCAGTTTCATATATTTATGAAGGATGAATGTCCTAATCATACCCACTCAACCAACCAGATTAAAATCTGTTTCTTCAAGGTTGCCCTGTCCCCCTCTTTGACAATGAATTAGTCATTGGTCTAAAAGCTTTGTGGTCTGCCACACCCCTTTTTAAAATTAACTACGAATTCCTATATATTAGAATGACTCTAAAGCGATGGCAAAAGACTTTTTAATTAATCACTTTACATATACCAACGTAGACCAGAACTTTCTTCAAGTAAATTTATCCAATGTGTAAATTCTAATTATGTTACTCTAAGCTCATTCTGTTGAAAACTAAGCAAATGAAAAGTAAATAGTCCGTGTTAGAGGGGAAAAGGTAGACGCCGTCACGGAGAATGATTAAGCTTAACTACTTGCGACTTGTGGCACATCAAATGAATAAATTACTTAATAAACAAAGTTGTCAACAACCCAGATTTGATGCTTTCCAATCTTTTTTCTTTCTTTATTTTTTTGTATTCGGAGTGGAGACCTATGAATCTGTCTATCAACATCCTTAATTCTTTTTTCTTATTATTTTTTCATAAAAAAATCTTTTTTATAAAAGGGCAGGCCTATGATAGGGAAAGGGCAAAAAGAGAAGTAGAGAATACCTTTCCGAGAATTTAAATTAGACAGATTGATAGTATAAAAGATCTTTCCCGAAAGTATAGTTTAAGATATTACATGTTAGGTACTATTTTTATCGACTTATAAATTAATATTTGTCATAAAAATTTACTTGTAATTGCCTTATAAACGATTTATTTTTTAAATATTGAGCCTAAACGGTAACTCGGTCTCTAATACTAAATTCTTTTGATTTTTGAATTTTGAAGAACCAGCTTAATTGTGGCCAAAACAGCTTAGCTATAATTGTGGACATTTTATAAAATTCAAAGATATCAGTAGCAGTAGTATGACCACAAAATATTTTCCCATATTTTGATACGCGGTTGATCAAAGACTGGAACAGAGACTCCATTTTTTGAAATGCAGTTATTGAAATAAATAGAACCCCAAGGCATTTAAATTTCGTCGGCCGACGGATGCATATTCAAAGAAGTGGGTACAAGTGCACCAGTTCATTTCAATTCGAGTTGTCTATATAGTTAAGTTTTAAAAAGAATGTATTATATCTGTATTAAGTGGAACATTATTACAAAGAAATAGAATAATCGTATTTTAAACTTACTAATTTAAATTGTAAAATTTCACATTGCCGAAATCCAACATATCTAATACAGTATCTGATATGAATTACATAAATTACTTCACAAACAGGAAAATTTCAAAATTGTATAGCCTTCTCGTTTTACCTGGAAAATGTATTACATGAGACTCTTACACCACAACTCCAGAGCTTGGATTTATGGCTTTTCACACTATTGACTATATTAGTTCAATCAAAACTCCTCACTGTACAACAAGCATCATCTCAAAAAAAGAGAAACAATTAATCCAAAAGGACCAAGAAATTTTTTAATCAACCTTAATAATCACAACAAATTGGACATCGAATTAGCCCATTCTCATTGCAATCTGGACATCGTTGGAAGCCATATTCATCTTCATCCAATTCGTCATTTTCTTCATCTTCTTCATAATCTGCTTCATAATATATTTTACAGCTCCCCGAGCATGTCTCACATGGTACAAATCTAACATCTCCACAGGCCTCACAATTACAACCTCCATATCCAGCACCATCCTCAACTCTTTCACAATTCTCTACAAACTTCTCGAGTTTCCCATCCTCGTTCATTCGCCTTATTTCATCAGCTCCACCTGTATATTTTTTCCCCAAAAATATCCTAGGCAATCCCCCTCTACTGTATTCATTTCCCAGTAATTCTTTCAGCTCTTCTTTAAACCCCGAATGCATCGATACATCTCTCTCGTCGATTTTCACACCTAGTCCCTTTAATATCACACGAACATGACAACAATCCTCGTATGTTTTCCTCACGCCTCTTAGGCTCGTGAAATAAACAACTAGTTTATCTTTACAAACCTTGTTCTCTGTTACTTCCCCATTTACTTTCTTCACATCCGTTATGATATCCGTTTTCTCGAACGAATCTTCCTTGTCGGCTGACACCTGGAGATTTTCACTAATTAATGCTTTAAGGTGAAATGGATTTGCGGGCGGGAGATCTTCTAATGCTTTTCTTAAAGTAGAAATTACTTCAGGATCAAACTCAGAGACGATAGACGTGTCGTTTGAATTTGAGTTCGTTTCATCTTCAGTTATCTCCTCCCACAATGGCTTTGGAGATCCTTCAATGTGATCTTTCACTCTGGGTGTAGGCAGATCGTATAGAGAAGGAACTGGATTAGGAGAAACATGAAAAGAAAAGCTGCGGACGTGGTGAGAAAGTTTTAGCGGACTGCTATCTTCAAGACCTTCCATTAATTCCCAAGTATTGATAGTTTCTGGTTCGCCAGGTGGAGTTCTAATGGGGGTTTTGGGAATTACTTTTGGGATTTTCTCATTGATCATTTGAGACCATGTTTTTGCCTCAATTAAACCCATAGCGAACTCTTCTTTGCAACTCTTCATAACTTCATCATTATCATAATGGCCAAAAGAAGATCGATCGTCTTTTATAGATTGACTCTGGTTGAGTGGATCGAGCTTCAGAGATCCTAACGTGGAGGAAGTGAGCGCCACCAGATGGTGGTAGCTGTCGTCGTGCATTGAGTAGCTCCGGCGCACCGGTGAACATGGGGCTCGGCACTTGTGGCATACTTTTGGCTTTGAAGTTGCACAACCCATTATTGAAACTGATTTGGAGAAAGCAAAAGAATACTCTAGCGCCGAAGAGGTCGGCTAAAGAATTCAATCAAATGAGTATTTTTATGTGGGAAGAAGAGATTAGAGGAACATTCTCAGGTGATTGAGGTGGGTGGTATAATGGAATTGGGTAGAGATTCCAAGATTAAGCAACCAAATCGAGGGATTGGAAAATTTAAGAATTCGAGGAAAATAGAAATAAATAGCACTGAAATTAAAATTAAAATTGAAGAGAAGAGAATCCCTGCAACCGATGAGTGAGAGAGAGAGAAAATGGAAGCTTCTGTTCTCCCTGCAAAACAGGCATAAAATGGAAAGCCTCACAAATCAAATCTTTTGATTTTTTTTTCTAACTTAAAAAGAAGTTCGGATAAAATCATAATTGATGTGCCGACAAAAAAAGAAAAATCTCAACAAAAGACAATGCCCTCAATTAAAACCTTAACTTATATCATACGATAGAAAATCGAAAATTTCGCAATGATCGGAGGATGAATAAGATCAGCAAAGGACCCCCAAAAACCTCCAACTCAGGCGATGCCAAAACTAAAAGAAAGAGAAGAAAAGTTGATAAAAAGGAAGGAAAAAAGGGGTAAGAGAAAAATGGAAGTCAAAAGAAGAGGGCGGAGAAAGACCCTTTCAGCAGTTCCATCACATTTCTTTCTCCTTTCCCCACTCTTTCTGTTTATCTTTCTATAGAAAGATTTATGTCTCAATCGAAAAGGCCAGCAACAGAATGGACAAAACTCTAAAACGACCCCGTCAGTGGCAAGACGAGTGGTAGAAACTGTCAACCTTTTTGTTTTGCGTATAAGAAGGCTGGTGTTTTTGGTGGAGCAGAAAATGGCTGCTATGAACTATTAAGGAGTGAAAAATAAAGGGGATTTGGGTGGTTTGGGAAATCAGATTGAGGGGAAGGAGAGTATTTGAGCCTTCGAAGGGGAAAATATAACGTACAAACTTGCATACATCTGTCTTCTATTTTTCAAACTAATGAAAGTGTATCTCATTTTAATACACTTATGTAATTCTAATTAAGGTCAGCTTAGTATATTATTTCATTAATTACAGTATTTTATAATTCTAAATTAGTATCATTAGCATAAGGTAATTTAAAACTCCATTCTTTTCCATTTATGTGACTTTATTTCCTTATTAGATTGTGTAAAAATAAATAAAATATTTTTATATTTAAAAATAATTTAACTTCAAATTTTCTCATTTTTCTTAATGAGATGTTTTTATATCTACACAAATGTTATAACAAATTTAAGACCACAATTTTAAAAACATTAATAATCATACATATTTAAGATTTTAAGTTTGAAAATTATAATTTTTTTTTATTTAAAAAATTTAATACTAAGTTAAATTACTGTCACATTAACTTGAACAATGGAGTATAGTTCAGCAAAGTTCAATACCAAGTATATATATATATATTTTTTTTGGGGGGGGGAGGGGGGGGGTTAGGCCTTCGTGGCCTTTTTGCAATGTTTTTGCAATATTGAATTTATGAAAAAATATTTTTTTTAGATCTCTCACGTGTAAAGGAAAGATTAGTTATATATAAAAATAAATATCTCATGTATAAAAAAAGATGAGATTATAAAACTAAATATAATTTTGTAATGGGCCACAAAATCAATTGACACCGTCCACTTTATTTCTAGTCTTTCAATTGTGTGTTGGCTTGAGTAACTTCTCCTCTCTATATCCTGGAAAAAGTGGTTTCATTTCAATTTCGATCCGATAAATAGATTAATAAAACATTTGGTGTCTTCAAGAAATTACCAGACGTATGGAGCAGTAGGCCGTAAGTAGAAATTACTTCAGAATCTCTGAATTTTCACTAAGTTAGTAAATTCGTGATTTTTACCTTCGATGCTAATTAAAGGCGAACCAACTTTTTGGGGGCCTTGAAAATGAAGCGAGTAGCGACAGTGCTGGCTAATTACGGTGGAAAGAGACAATGTGGATTCAATAGCAAATGTGGAGACAAGCCATTGATCCGAAATTGAAATGCCATCATTTAACATCACAGTTAACTACACGCGCGCCCCTCTCCTTTTGTTTTAACCACTCCTAAGTTAGGAAAATTAACTATGTTTTCACGCTTCCACTCCAACATAACTCAAACCCAGGACCTAACAGTCATGAGTGGAGGTGCTTTTACCAACTGAACAAATTTTACTCTTTTATAGTACCAAAAGTGAATTTAGTATTTTAATATGGAGCATAAATATAATAAAAAAATTTTAAAAATTAAATTTGAATTATTATTATATTTGAACTCATTAATTTTAAATTATTATATTAAACACATTAATTTTAAGTTCTGATTTAATCTCTACACCTTTGAGATTTTTAAGCTAATATTAATAATATCTTTGTCAATGTTTGATGATTTTGAACCTCAAAACCCGTGGTGGACCATCCAACAATAAGTACCCAGCGATAGACTACCCTTGCCGTTGATGTTATTTTTTGGCAAACGAAGCAATATAATCTGTTCATTAGTTCCTTCTCTAAATGAAGTGACAAGTTAATTTATACTTGTACCATTTTACTAAGAAAATGTCGTATGCTTTATTTTTCAAGAAAATAAATTTCTCTTTTAGCTTTTAAGCTTTCAGAATTTTGTGAAGTCAAAATCGCTGAAGCTTCAAAGGCAAAGATGCCCATTATGATATATTTGACTTCGGCGAAACTCAATAAAATTACAAAAATGGTTTTGTACAACATTTGTATCACATATCATTAAACTTTATTGTTCATAGTTTTATAGTAAGACTTTAGGCGAGGTTAATGTACATAGTCGACAGTTTCAATAGATAATAATGAAAAAAATTAAACATATATATTGTTATCACAGCATATACTATTAACTTTACGTTGATCATGGCATATTTGATCATTTCTAGGTTTTCTTTTCTTTTTTAGCTACACAAATGCAGAGGGTAAGATTGTATAGGGTAAAATATGATATGACACGTGACTGACTAAAAGGAGGACACGTGGAATCCAAGATGGTCGGGTACCATTCCGCCAAAAGCTGATCCCGTTAAGAAGTAAGTTCTTCCTACTCACGAATCAACCTTAGAAGTCCCTCAGAAGCAAGAAAGTTGACCTACAAAACAAGAAGAAGTAAAACTTAGAATACATTCATACTAAAGTACAAGAAGTGATGAAGGAAGAAAAGAACGTACCGTTGCAGCATTGTGCATGACATTGTTCAACAAGCACTCTCCCGATAGTGTCTGAATCTTTTTCCAGTCCTTTTTTGAAGCCAAAGGCTTCAAATAATTAGCAAGCTCCATCGGCCAGGACAACAAGTTGCACCCGGTAGAAATTGAAAGAGTAACGTTCCTCCTCATTTGTGGATCTCTAGAAGAGGCGGCATAATTTTGCCCCAAATTCCCATGAATTTGGGACTGTGGAATAGAAACACCTTCTTCACGGTCAGGTGTGGCCGGTGGAGGTGATATAGCAACTGCTGGTGGAATATTAGGTGAAGATGGAAGTGATGTAGTAGTTGTTGGTGTCGGTGAAGGTGGAGATGGAGTTGATGGAATTGAAGAATGAGAAGCAGCTGCATCAAATGCAGTACCGGTTGTTGAATGATCGCCAACCAAAGACGGCGAGGACGCGATACTCAACCCCGCAACACCGGTTACAATAATTGGGGCCCGAAAATGGGAGTTGGCATATTCCATTAAATCAGATTCTCCCCAAAGTGCTGAGACGTCGTCTTCAGTTGGTGCAATTATCTCAACAAGTCGAGCATCTTATTGAGATGATGATGATCGTCGCCTTCTATATAAAGAAGCTCCATCATCACCAGATTCTTCATCGATCATCACTGTGTCTATGACTTGCCCGGAAGGAGGACCAGTTATCATCGCCACCAGAGATGACTTGAGGGCAGCAATCTTTACCCTTTTATTCTTTTCCCCGGTCACAGAGGAATACCTTTTCTTTATTTGTTTATCCTCCGACTGGGGACTCCGTAAAGAAATATTTGCACCCGAAACAGCTCCGGAGATACCTGTTTGAGTAAGTACTTCTTGTAGTAGCCTCGTTGTATCAACGAGAATATCCTCCTCGGGGACAACAACAGAGTCCACAAGTAGACCTAATTCCGTGAACAAAGTCAGAAGGGTTCAACTAAGTTCTTCATATGCAAAAATAGAAGCAAGGTAAATTAGAGTTACCATAATTTTTGGCCTTTCACCCGTATTTAAGGGCCAATTCTTTCCACGAATGAGTTTTGGGCGTTGTGACATCCAAAATCTTCTGAACCTACAGGTTCAAACCTTCTACCACCGGTGGGAGCCATCGAATTCCTAAAACATGCGAAGGGTGAAGAGATGATACTGCTATAGAAAAATATCTAATAAGAGGAATATTATACAAAGAACTTACGAGTGCGGTTCCAATCAACAGGAAAGGATGAAGCCGTTGTCGGAATGATGTCAATGGTGGCCACTGCAATGAACCGTTCCATCCACCCACAATCGTTGTCATCATCCATACTAGACAACAAAGCATGGTGGCCATGCTTGCAAAGGTTTATCATTTCCTCGCGGAAGATTTAGGGGGAATAAAGATTTATCACATGAGCTAAGGTTATCTCCTCTCCAATTTCTTGGCACAAGCGTTGGAGGCAGGCAATCGTCCTCCACACTGAAGGACTTACCTGTGCCGAACATACCTGGTAGCAAAGGCAAAACTCCATAATCACGGAATCAAGCTCTCCGCTCAAAGAAAACGCACCCAAAGTAAAGGTATATGTGAAAAAGTATGTAAAACCTTCCTTGGGAAGGATCACTCACTCCGATAGATCAGGAGCGATAATTTCCAACTCATTGCAACGACAGTCCTCCTTCACAGCAGCAATACTGGAAGGACGAATGGAAGAAGGGTACCTGCTAACAACCCATGTATGAGGGTTAGTATGGAATCCAATGTTGGAGGAATGAAGTCCTCGATTTTGTTCTTATTTTTTGATGAACCACCACGTTTGGAAGAAGAAGCCATTGGAAAAGAATAAAGTAAAGCGTTTGTGTTCGAAGAAAAATAGAAAAATGATGGAAAACAAGGATACAAGTTAGAAGCTCAAGCAATTGTGAAATGTAAAGGAAAGGAAAGTTGCGTATAAGTAAAATTTTGGCGGCTAAATTCATAACCATAATTACCTCGATAATCGGTAAAGTTGTGTTGAATCATGGGATGACGCGTGTTCGGGGAATTAAATGCAGAGAGACGTGCGTCTAATCAACTATGAGAGATCTTCAGAGGGAATTATAGTAATTCCCGCCAAAAAAGTGTTTCTGCCAACTTTCTCGTAACACAAAGTAATGTCACCGGAAAGTAGGATAACTATCTGTATAGGGTAAAATATGATATGACACGTGGCTGACTAAAAGGAGGACACATGGAATCCAAGATGGGATGGTTGAAGATCGAACGCAGCCACTGCGCTTGTCACCGGAACGGATAACGTTCATAAAAGTGTATTAAATGCCCTGCGTCCAGTAACATTTACTAAGGAATGTTCTATAACATAAAGAGCGATGGTCCGTTATAGAGAATTTGACATTTATACTCAACGTTACATCTTCATCAATGACCCTCATAATTGGCATTAAATGAGGGCATGATCCTAATACCTTTTTTCCTAGGCATAGCTATAAATAGTTAGCTTAGTTACTATTGTAAAGGACACTAATTTTCTGGCAAGAACATATACTATATTCTATACAAAACTTTATACAATTTCACTTTCTTGCTTTTAAATTTCATCATTGCTGTGGTCGGAAATCGTTTTCACGGAATTATCATCTTTGTTATTTCATCTACATTCTAAGGCTAAGTATCGTGTATTTTTCAATTATTATATTATTTCAGGATCAAATTAATTTACTTGTCT